TTAGATATTAGACTAATATTCCAGAAAAATGAGAAATAAACTGAACTAAAGGAACTAAGAAGCTGAGGACTGGGATGTTAGTATTAGTATATGGAGAGGAGATAGGGAATTAGAAGTTGATATGATAATTAATTCAAGTATAAAATAAATAATATTTAATAAGAGCCAAACCTTACACAATCTTTATTTTTACTGCAAAGAAGGTGCAACTATATTGCAAGCTTTTCCAAGTTGTCAAGCCAAAAGAGTCCTCTTTTTTGTTCTACATATTAATATCCAGTCATGGATGACTGCATGCGATCAGGTGAATATTCCGTGTACACTTTGCCTATCCGAATCAAAATCCAATAAATTGTGTGTTTCTTCTGATTAAAACTGCTCTGCCCAATCTATCTAATAGATACACATGCTCGGTGTGTGGCTGAATAACACGCAGGCTGACAGACCGACCGTGAGGTAGAGCAGAGGGGGGCGCTGCTCTGACTCTGGAACGGGCCGAATGAAGAAATATGAGTATGCAAATAAGCTTAAAGCGCACAATCGCAATCAAAAACGACAGCAACAATAACTAGCGTAGCGGTAAAGTGTTTAGACACGCAATGTCAATAAAGTATCTTATCTGGGAACATACGTTGAGCGGGCGATGGATACGGATACGCTACGTTACGATACGATACACGTCGTGTCCCGCTCATATAAGGCACGACACCGCCGTCGCACAATGTCTGTTATGCTTTTTTTTCTCTTTCGGTGGGATATAGCGGGGAAAGGAAGGGGAAAGGAAGGGGGAAGGGGAGCCCATTCAATAATGCGTGCCTACGAATTCTGATTATACATATACATATACTTGTGCCGCACGGGTCGGGAACAGAACAAAAAAAAACTTAACAATGTCAAAGGGTTCGGTTTCTGAGCTGTGGGTCGTCGGCACCACCAGCTCTGGCTCTGGCTCTGCCTGTGGTTCTGCCCCTGGCCATGGCTCGTGCTTTGGCTGTTCTTGAGTGCTACTCAGTCTCCGCGGGAGTGTATGCGTGTGTATCTTTTTGTGTTCGCAAATGATCTTTGCATGTTTGAAAAACATTTTAGCATGCAGGGCGTGGCAAGTGCGTAACGGACAGAGGGACAGACAAACAGACAGACAGACAGAGAGACAGGCGCAGAGACGAGCATCGGCCCGTACAGACATCGAGTCGAAAATTGCAAATTGAAATGTTACAGTTAAGCACGTATTAAGCAGGGAGTCGTAGGCTTGTCCATGGCATGTGTGCACCGATAAATCGATGCGATGTATGGATTTCATTGGCATCTATTCGGACTATGAGTATCCATCCACAACAAACCCAAAGCCACCCCATCCTGCAGGGTCAAACAGGCCCGTTTCCAAAACAAAAAATCATTTCTAATAAACGTTAATGAGCCACGGCACGTAACAATCACTGCTAGCTATCAGCCGAAGCTCAGATACTCTCAGAGATACAGAAACGGCTAACACTTGGAGAAATTCATTTGTAGCTTCATTTCATTTACATTTTGATATTAATTTCAATATTAGATGATGTATTGAAAAGTTCTCACTGGAGGATTAAGACTAAACCACATTAAACTGTATCTATTTAATAAAAAATAGAAATACCTACTGTTTTAACTACTGAACATGGGTGTACATGTGGCTTAAATGTATTCTATGTGGCAACAAGCAGTACACAAATAAATATACATTTATATCGGTTCTATTATTCATTTGATCGTGTTATTTCCATACAAATTGATGGCATATTTATGAATTAGTTGTCCTCCTACAGAGCATCGCCACAAAGGCAAAGGTGAGGCGGGCTTGTGTATGGATTGTGTGAGCGAGTGTCTTCCATTGATATGTAAATTTTAATGGCCAAATAATCGCATGTATCTCCAATGTAAAAGCTTAATAAATTGATTAAATTCTTGGCTTTTATTAGGAAGTTGTCATTAAGTCATCAGCGGATGGCGGATGGCGGAGCTGCGACTAATTTGGACGCTGCTATTAATTGTTGCCTTCGACAAGCAATTCGTTAAAGACACCACTCACAAACACGCCAAAACAAAGCTAGCATTTGGCATCATACTCGTATGTAAATTGGACAGAGACGCAGTCCGGACTGGGGTTTGGTATAATAAATGTTCGGGCAGAGAGAAACACATGTAAGGCATGTAGAAATGAGATTTTAAACGTTTAAGACGAACTATAGTATGTATATGCTGCTGCTTCTGCTGCTGCTGCTGCTGGCCACAGTTTTGCACAGATATATTCTAAGGAGGAGAAGAAGGAGAACCACTGATGATGCCGTCGTTGATGAGACCCATGACGAATGGCCCGCAAATGCAAATGTAAATGGGAATGGCTACAATACACAATGGACCTGGATTTCCCAGAAATTGGTCCGCTCTAGCGCTCTCTGGCAGTTGTTCGCTCAGCGCACGCGATCTCACCGTTTCGTGTTTCCATTAGGAACCACTCACAGATACAAACACACACACACACACTAGCACACAAAGAGATGCATCTCAGTGCGGTTTGTTTACGCGGTGGAGATACATCTTGCTATTTTTAAATTGCATCCCGCATAACTTCTTCAATTCTTCTAAACATTCCGTCTACGAGTATTTCTTCCTAATTTGCTCGTTGCTCTTCTTTTTATTGAACGGCCCAGCAGTCAAAGAATATTTATTGATGATATGACCACACCTACCTATAGTATTTTATGAGCTAGCCAGCCAGCCAGCCAGCTAGCTGCATTCCCCTCCATGCCACAGCAACTGTACTGCAACCAGTCGCAGTCCCCAGTCCTAGTACCAGTGCCAGAAATAAACCACAAATCCCTAGTGCTAAGTCCAAAATAAAAGCCAAGTCAATGGGAAGTGGGAGATGCGACTGTGGCTACGGCCACGGCTACCAGGGGTATTTGGATTTAGATGTGGAATGGGATTGGGATTGAGAGTGGGTGGGGACTGGGGACTGGGACTGAGTGCACTGCCAACTCACTTGAGATTTCTCACACCTCATCCCTGTCAGACGGGGTTTTTTTTTTTTGGGAGTTGGAGTTGGAAATGCAGCTGTAGAAGGTGGGGTGGTGTGGGTGGGGTTGATGGTGCCTGGTGGGGTGGCGCATCCACGTGCCATGCTTTTGATCTGTTTAGCATACCGTGGCACATCAGAAAGTCGTAACTATTGACAAGATCTGGAGCAGCAACAGACTCGCAAGGAGAACCCGCGAAGAATTGTTCGAATCTGTTCAGATCGCGATTGAGATGGAATCGAATGCGTTTCGGGGCAGCACAGCACTCGTGTATTTGTTTGCATTAATTTGTATATGTTACTTTAACGATTTAATGCGCAGCATGGCACCGACTCGACGCGGACTGGGCAGGGAAGCGCAGGGCATCGCATCCATCGAATGGAGTTCGATTCCATTCCCCATTACCCATTCCCAGGTGATTGCACTCTCCGACGCGGATTCGTTTGGGTGGCCGTGCACCCGGACCACACCACACCACACCACACACCACCACCCCTGTCCCCTGTCCGTGCCACAGCCATATCTCACAGCCTCGATCTACAAAAGTCGATTCGGGGGCGCTGTGGGGCTGGCGCAAATTGCTCGTGTGTTTTCTTCCTTCACTACTTCCTTGCCATATCAAATTGTGTGGATATTGCGCATCAATCACTTGATAAAAAACAACAGTGCCGCGCTCACATGATGAATAACATCTGGCCGAATCAGAATTAAGGCCCAATGTTTTGCGCTAAATAAAAATACGAGTGCCGGCAGAAGAGTATATGGAAATCCACTTGAAACGCTGCGCCAACTTACGGACTTGGCCCGTCACAGAATAAACATATTGATTGATAAGTGAATTATTCGTGGAAGCCATGGATGTTTGCATTAATTAATTTTGAATTGGCAAATGAAGGAATTATCTTGAATAACATATCCCCCATCCCCCATCCTACATCCTGCTCCAATATTATTTTATTGTCATTGCTTTATTTTAGGCGAAATATTGAAATTGTAAAAAAAAGAGGCAAATAAAATCATTACATTTTTACACTCGAACAAATATATACATGCATGTACTGTATGTTTATAACAACACCAGCAATAGTTAATAGAAGCCCCTGTAGCTCCCTATCTAGCCATTATGCATAGTATGGTCCGACAAGTAATCGTGTCTAGCCGTAGTTATCCTAACAGCATGAGCTTTTATTGCTCTGTACATATACTATTAAATTAGTTAGTTGGGGTCAATGATACACTGTTCCATCAATGTTGCTCACCGCGTGTAATAAAATCACATAAAATACTACCTGGCAAAGGTTTATTTTCGCTTCTAGGTAAGCTTTTAAATATAAATGAAAATCTGTAACATTATTCATTATATTTTTTGCTTTCTCCCGATTTTTATATCTTATTTAATCAATTTTACTACGGCACATAGTATGTATTTCCTATCTGCTTTTTCCGTTACCTTTTCCTATTTATGTATATTTTCCAGGGAATTTGAATAACACCACCAATAATTTGTAGAAACAATTAGTTATCGGGTAAGCAGAGTGTTTCAGTCGAGTAATCGTGTCTAGCTCTAATTACTTTTACAGCGACAACTTTTATCGCCAGTCGCTGGGAATATCTCCACTTTGATGCGAAATCTTCACGCATAAATGACCAGCATGGGTGGATAGGGAGGGTGGTGGTAAATTTGTCAGTTTTCGTTTTGTTGTCAGCTTTTTGTTGGCTTTAAAGATTTGCCATAGTCCGGCCTACCATTTACGATATTCCCCAGTTCGAATATCGTGTGCCAAGTTTCGAGCGAGCGCACGAACGGCGCTCTCTTCGGATTCGCCGCTCTGCTGGTCGCTGCTGCTCTCTTCGTCTCTTTGCTTGGTTCGAAGCGGAGTTCGAATTTCGAAAAGAAATCAAAGCAGACAACGCAACGACTACAACTCTGGGCATTCTTCGGGCGAAGCTATAACGGTACACAAGTTGCTGTCGGAAAACGGAAAACGCGAGCGTCCCAAGTGGAAATGTAGCCCAATCCGTTCGCTTCGGGGTATCCATCTAAAGCGGCCCTCGCACACACACAAACGCAAAAACACACGCTCGCACTTTCGGGCTCGCACCACTACAGGCGCCTCCGTGTGTCTTCGTATCTGTGAGTAGAGCGCTTGCACAGGTGTTGGTGTTGGTGCCTGGCATTGTATTCGGATACAGGATTTGCTGAAGTGCTTAATGAAACCATCGAGAGTGATAAATGCAAATGATTCATTAATACCAAACGTATCCAATGACCAAAGTGCGCTGCCAACCATCCAACTGAGTCCTGAGTCCTCGTACTCTCGTACTCGTATTCGTACTTGTAGTGTGAAAGAGTCTGTCGACTCGAACGACTCGTTCGGCTTGCCGGTATTTTTGCAGCATCGAATCGAATCGAATCGAATCGGTAACGGAAATCAAAACCAAAAATTGAAGCCGCAACTCAATTGCATTACCTGATGGCACACAAGGATTACATTACCCCAAAAACTCAACTCGAATAAATTCTGTGAAAATCTGTAACTATCGGAAATCAGTACGAGTGTAGAACGCGGCTGACTTTGAAAATCGCTTTATAGTAATTCCCTTGCCCCTGTACCACTCGAAACCAATCCGCTCCACTCCACTCCACTCCACAACACTCCAACCCACTCCTCTCCACTCTACACTCTCCACTCCAATCTGCCTCACTCGACAGGCTCATTGCTCGGTTTGTGGTGCCGCTGTCGCTGTCGTTCTCACAGGCGCTGCCGTGCCCCGACTTCGTCGATAATTGGAATTTACGACTGTGGCATAAAAAAAAAGGAGAGCACAGGCACAAGGATATAGCCCAGGCACGGGCACTGGCACGGGCTTCATTCAGAGCCTCTTCCCACTCAAGGCTTGTCCTCGCCACTGTTGTTGTTTGGTGACTCCGACTCGTCCCGTCCCTACTCCTACCTACCCTACCTACTCCTAAGCAGCAGCAGTAGCAGGAGCCCAATCCTAGTCAGCCCTTCGATAGTGCCGTGTAAATATTTTTGTGTCCTCGCTCGGAGTGTGGGCACTGTGCTGTGCAGTGCGGTGCGGTGCTGTGTGGTTCAATTGGCCTGTCACCGGCAGGCGCGCTGATTTGTTATGGTAATAGTTGTCAAAACGAGAGAGATTCGAGAGATCTTTAGTGGCACTTGATTACACTTGGCAACATGACAAATGTATTGTGCGCCGTATTGTGTGCGGATAGTGTGCGCTTAACGAAATCGAAACTGAGCTGAGCTGCGGACAGACGGACAGATGGACAGAGGTGTGAACGTAAATCCGAACCAATTAAGAGTGCAATCAGAGTGAATAGGGAAGAGACGGCAGGGCAGTCGTAGTCCGAGTGTTGTTGTTGGCTCGTTAAGAAGTTGCCAGTTAGCTTGCTCGTTTCATTGAAACATCTATCTCTGGTTTCATCGCAGCTCCAGCTACAGCTACAGCTCCCAGCTCCAGCGCAGTGGAGACGGCGTGTCTGGGCCTCATTAGAAGACTGGCTAGCTGGCCCAATCGAAATCGGAATAAAATAAAACTAAGCAAAAACCAAACAAACCAAAACAGAACACAGAAACAAAAAAAAGATAAAGCAAAAGAATGAAATAAAATAAAATAAAATAAAAACAGTGGATCCATTAAGGCAGAACAAGATGGAATATTGAATGGAATCATTTGCTATATGCACATACATTAGCAGGTGAGTTATCTGGCCGCCTATTGCCACGAAATTTATGCCCATGCATATCTGCATAATCGCAAATTAAGCTACATAATTAATAAGCCAAGAGGAAACCAAACCCAAACCCAACCTCACCTCGCCGCTGTCACTGGGCGTTGATGTAGCACTTTGGGGAGCTATCTGCTTGCTGGCTGCCTTCTGGCAGCTTTTTATAAGTCATACTACTGCCAGTAAATGGGTGTATATGCAGTATGTATGTGTGTGTAGCTGAACGTGCCACTGCGTTCCGAAAAGTATCGATGTCTGTAATCTTAATTAGCAACACCACAGCAACCGGCAACAGGCGGGCAGGCAGCAGGCAGCAGTAACCTGCCCAGCGCCAGGCACTCGAGCTTGGGGCCCCAAAAACATCTTTTAGCATTTTAAGCATGGCGTATACACTTTTCAGTGTTTTTTCTCCGTTTTTTGCCCCCACCCGTGTGTCTCTCAACGAAGTCACATAACACTGAAAGCCGAAACCGGTTTCGGTTGATTTCTTGTCATATTTTGTATAGAAGCTAAGGCTAAGGTGTTTTGTACAAATGGCCAGCAAACCAAACAAACTAAAGTCCGCAGCCGCTCATAACCGGCTGCCCATCAAAGAGTTATTTATACCCATTAAAACATGAAGCACTCCTTAGGGAAAAACACACACACACACACCCCTCGCACGAGACAATCTCCTCTCTATGGTTAGTTGTGCGAGTAGTTCTGGGGCGGAGAAGGAGACTCTGGAGTGCTCTGGCCCAGCTGGTACTCACATGCAAATATCTTTGATCTGCTTTCGGGCTAAAAAATTCGCACCTCCATGTGAGAACAGAGCCCCCATGGGGGGCCCCTCAGATGAGTGCATAAGAAATCAAGTTTACGACTTCTGCGGATGGTACAGGGAGCAGGCGCTTTAATTGCTTCCATTAGAAATCGCTTAGCACCCCAAATGGCGACCAGGAGTAGGTAAATTTAATTACAAATTACAAGTGTGAATTTAAATTCCATTTAAGCCATTTGAGGTCTCGAGTTTACCTGGTTTTTATTCTCTGCGACACCTTCAATCAGACAAACAATCGGCCAGAATCGCTTTGTTTGCGTTACATTGGCTTTTTGTGCTGCATTGTCCGCGCTGGACGCATAATTTTATTATTTTTGTAAAGTAAAACGAAAATAAATAATTAATAAATCAACGCATCTATTGTTTGTTCTCTGTCGCAATAAAAATAGATAAAAACTAATGAATTTGAAATGAGCAGGAATTCAAGTTCATTGAGATAACCGGTTTGCTTTGGTGCGGTGTCGCTGCGATCGGTTTGTCCAGCATTCGATACATTCATTGGTTTGGAATGACCAAAAACTGGCCAACAGTCGGAGAGATACTCGTAACACAAGGCCTCCAAATGCCCTTTCAAATCTATCAAAATATTTCTTGACCTATCCCCTCAACCACGCCTGCTCTACGGCAAAATTATAGTCTTTTTTTCAAAGAAGTAAATAATGCTATGGGAATTACTTTTAGGCTGCTATAACAAATTATTGAAAATAAAAAAAAAACATAGAAGGAAAAGCAAATATATTAAACATAGATTTAGCATTCAATTGATTTAAATTCTCCAAAACTAAACAGAGACTTTACGCCGAACTAGATCTATCGGCTGAAAGTTTAGATTAATAAATAAATAAATAAATAATAAATTACTAATATGTTAAATTTATGTGAAGATAAATATGAAGTATACCTTTAATATTCATAATCTAGAAACGAACCTAATTTTCATAAAGAATTAACCCAGGCTAGAGATAAAATTAATGATAAAGATGTACTACCCTTGGCAAGGGTATCATTTGTAAAAGAGACCCAGCCCTATGGCCATGCCCATTGCCGCAGATGTTTCTGTATCTGTTTCTGTATCTGTATCTGTGGGCCAGACTCAAGTTTGGGCCAAGTGTTTTGTCTATCACATTCATAGGCAAATTGTGGACGGCATATTTACGAGCAGCATTTATTGACGTTGTTGTTGGTTATTTTTTTTTTTTTTTTGGTTGGGGGGAAATGGAATATTGTAATAATTAATTAAGTTATAACATTAAAAGGCCATAAAGGGGCATTATGGCAATAACTTTGAGTGGACGCATGAGCATGAGCTATGCCCAATGCCTGGAATCTCAGATATTCGTTCGTTACGAACAGACCCATAACTCTTTTCTCTTTTGTTATCAGGGCGCAGATCTGGCCATATGCTGATGCGACAGCCTTTTACCCCAGGCAGCTTCTGCCTCTGACAGATTCCGGCCATCATCATCATCTTTTACGACTATGACTGACCAGGCCAATCATGGTTACTTTCCTAACCAGAATCTGCCCAAAACACTCGCACTCTGCAGGCCTCGCTCTGTCTCTGTGCGAATGATTTTGTCAGTTGTGAGTTTTGGCTTAGTTCTGTTTGGTTTTGGCCATACGAGCCATGTGCCAGATAAATGACTTCACATTTTTAAAAATATTACGTTGATAGCCTGAGATTGAGCGTGCCGTGCCGGAGAGCACCTTCGAGTCTACTCGAAGTCATTGACGAGTCAACCGAGAGAATGCGTCATGAATGCCGACCCGGCCATGAGCTCAGAACCCCATTCTTTGCATGGCTAGAAATATGAATACATGTAGAAGATGGCATTTGCCGAGACTACTTACTGTTGCCCCGGCAGCAAATAAAACTGTTAGAATCACTTATTTGGCTATTTAAGAGACTCACAGGAGAGAATCGCTAGAACCGTGTGGGAAGTGTTGATCCGATACCCGGGCATTGTTCTCGAGCATACTTTTGATTTATTGGCGAAATGAGTGGAATTGACAGCGGTTATTAATTGTGGCCACGCACACAATGGACGCGCTGGACAAGACAAACAATCACATATTTAAATGAATGCCCTTGGAGCTGGCCAAATGAAGTTTGACTGAGCATTTGGATCTGGGCAGAATAGAATGCCTTGGGGTCATATTCGTATGCTTGTCGAGATAATTAGCCCTCCATGCGACGAAATTTACCCAAACGCCTCAAGGTATGCAGCACAATCTACAGTGGATTAGAAATGTTCGGTTCCCTATTCATTATCTCATACTGTGCCGGCCATGCTGGGTGCCGCTCAAATGAAGTGTGAATTAAATACCTCAAATGGACAATTTATTGAATAAACAGCATACATATAATACTAATACCTACTGTAAAGCTTATTTGTCACAAAAAATTCGGAAATCTGTGAAAAATAAACCTCTTTCTGCCTTTTTGATGAAGCGTACACATAAATATTTCAAATGTTTGTCTGCACAAATATTTGAATTGGATTACATTTTATTGTAGTTGGAGTTGTACGACTGTATGTTGTATGCATTTTATTATAAATTCAGAAATATACGAGTCCCAGCTTCCAGTTTATTAGATCTGTGTGTGTGTGAGAGATGAGAATATTTATCAAACAGACAGAAACAGGCAGACATTTAGTAGAGTAGGAGAAAAAGAAAAAGGAAAATGCCATGGTAGAAATGAACTCATAAAATATATGTATCTGCCATATTTGCTTCTGAATGGAACTTCACTTGCTATCCACTAATGAATTGAATTATTGCATTGTGCAGCCGAAGGACAACCCAATCATCCTCGCGCTACTCGACTCGACTCCACTCCACCTCTACCTCCACTGGCTGGGCGTGCTAGTGCATGGCGGCCATCTCGACTCCGGGAAACATGGATGAAAATGCGATAAGCACTTGATAAATATGAGCAGAGGCATCGCCGGAGGCAGAGACAGAGACAGACACCGAACAGAGTCTTAACAAGCGACAACTTTCAGTAAACAAGAAAGCAAAGAGCAGAATCATATCATGCATCCCGAGGCAACGATCGATATAATGTGCCAGCAGCTCAAGGAGCCACATCCACATCCACAAGCCAGCCGCTGGCAGCGACTGAAGCTGCATTACTCGCTCCCCTGGAGCCTTGGCATTGGCATTGGCATGGGCCCATTGCTGATGCTGATGCTCCTGCTGGTTATGCTGGAGACCTGCCAAGTGCGGGGCTCCTACCTAGAGCCCGACGAACTTATCCAGGAGCTGGATCGACCGGTGCCGCTGACATCGGTGCAGGGTGTGCTGGGCCGGCAGGCCATGCTGCCCTGCGACATCTCACCGCTGGAACGCGACGACGCCGTGTACATGGTGCTCTGGTTCCGCGAGGGCGATGGCGAGCCCATCTACAAGTGAGTGAAGGGTGTGAAGGCGAAGCCTCGCACTGGGACTCACCATATTTCATTGCAGCTTCGATGTGAGGGGGCGGCAGTTTGGCCAGGCGCGCCTCTGGTCCTCGCCGCTGGCCTTCGGGACACGCGCCCACTTCAGCAGCACCACCCACCCCGCGCAGCTCAAAATTGACAACATACGCATCGAGGACGAGGGCGTCTACCGGTGCCGAGTCGATTTTCGAAATTCGCCCACGAGGAATCTGAAGATAAATCTAACTGTCATCGTGCCCCCAGACAGACCCATCATCTATGGCCAGAACAGGCATGAAAAGGCCAGCAATGTGGAGTCCTTCAACGAGGGCAACGATATTGTCCTCTCCTGCGAAGTCTCAGGCGGTAAGGTCCCTCCCTCCTTTCTCCCCGCTCCCATTGAATGTGCTTATTTCTATGTTGCGTGTGTCTGCAGGTCGACCGCGTCCCAATGTCACATGGTACTTGGACAACGCGGCCATCGACGAGTCCTTCGAACAGCGGCCCGATGGCAAGACCATCAACCACCTGTCCTACCCCAATGTGGGCCGCCAGCATCTCAACTCTCGCCTTGTGTGCGTGGCCAGCAACACGAACCTGACGCCACCCAACAACAAGGTCGTCATCCTGGACGTGAATCGTAAGTGGCAGCACAGTTTGGCCATGGATTTACTCTTACGTACGTTTCGTTTTGCTTCCAGTTAAGCCCATGGCCGTGCACATACTCACCAAGGATCGATTCGTGTCCGCCGATCGCACCTACGACATTGAGTGCAAGAGCTCGGGCTCCAAGCCGCCCGCTCTCATCAGCTGGTGGAAGGGCAGCAAGCAGCTGAAGAAGCTCACCAAGAATGTAAGTTTCACTTCCAACACCATTCCATTCCAGCGCCACTCCATTCTGTTCCAGCACCATTTTATTTCATTCCGTTCTGTTTCATTTCGTTTCGTTCGCTTCGCTTCGATTAGGGTTAAGTTAAGCGGAGCTGAACTCATTTCGCATGCACAAAGTCTTGGGCTCATTAATTAAACACACATTAATATTCAACGGGTATATACAACACTATGTACGAGTGTGTTTGTATGTACTTATGTAGAAGAGGATATGCGTTTGCTTATAATTGCCACAATTTTCGTTTTAATTTTCGCTCAAGTCTCGCTCCTACTTGGCCTTGGCCTTTTCTATCGTTTCTTTTTTTTTCTGTTCGCTTCAATCCGTTTCCTTTTCCGTTCCTTTTCTTTTCTTTTGCTTTCCGTTTCATTATTCATTTCCTAATGGACTCTGTTTGCGTTTCTTTTTTTAGTTTAATGAACCCGATAATCAATCTCTAAGTATACTGACGTTTACGCCCGGACGCGAGGACGATGGCAAATATTTAACATGTCGGGCAGAAAATCAATTCATCGACGGCAGCGCCATCGAGGACAAATGGCGTCTCATTGTCCACTGTAAGTGCAGAAGGAGCCTTTTCAGACAAAAGGAGAGAGGGTGAAACTTAATTGGGAAAACATATCTCTGCTCTCCACACACACAGACCAGCCCACAACGACGCTGAAGATTGGCTCATCCCTGAACCCGGACGACATCAAAGAGGGCGATGACGCGTATTTCGAGTGCGTCGTTCAATCGAATCCCAAGCCCTACAAGATGTCCTGGTTCCACAACGTAAGCGCAAACTTAATATTTATCCTTTTGATGAGCTCACCACTCACCTGCGCAACCTCTGTGCCATCCGTATGTACATCCATCCAACTGCAATGTATCGCATATCTAGGGCAAGGAGCTGCAGCACAACATCTCCGCCGGCGTCATCCTCTCGGATCAGTCGCTGGTGCTGCAGAGCGTCTCACGTGCCTCGGCCGGTGACTACACTTGCCTCGCTGTCAACTCTGAGGGCAAAGGCCCAAGTAATCCGGTCACATTGCGCATACGCTGTAAGTAAACGCTAGCCAAATCCCCGACCGTCTCGGCCCCATCCCCATACCCATACCCATTCTCATCCCCATCCCCTATGAACCATGCCCAAAGTCACCAAAGTTTGGCTTTGAACTAACGTCTATGTAATTTCCAATTTAATCCTTGAGTTTGAATGGCTCTTAATGTATTTAGAGTGGGGGCTTCGCCTTCCACTGCCCTGTGTGTTCTGGCCCAAAGCCAAAAACAAAAGCCCAGTAGGTGTGTCAGCTACACCATGCCATGCCATGCTCAGACCCACTTCCATGCCCTTTCCCTCAGCCCACACAGCCCACTCAGCTCACGTTAATGACCAAGATTATGGCGCAATGAATGCATTGCCTTGGCACTGGTACTGGCACTGGCACTGGCACTGGCACCGGCACCGGCACCAAATGATATTCCAAATGACCAGAAGAGCAGGCACAGGGCTTAGACAGCAGGCGGCAGGCGGCAGGGCAGGGCCGGGATTGCAGTGGCCAAATGTTTGAGCCAAATTCGAAATTAATTCAAGCCAGTTTAAAGACCGACTGTTGGCTGGAACGCTGGCACGGGCGCCGCCTGCATATTGAGATTCATTCTGGGCCACCCTAACAGGGCATTAAATATTTCAATAAGTGTTCTAATTATTTATTCGACTCCGCGCAGACGCCCCCATCTGTGCTACCGACCACGAGGAGCTGCTGGGCGCCTTAAAGCACGAGACACTGCCACTGAAGTGCGAGGTGGACGCCTCGCCACCTGCCGACTCCTTCCACTGGACCTTCAACTCGTCGGGGGAGCAAACCGAGCTGCCCGCTCGCCTGCACTCCACTGAGGTAAGCCACGAACTTAATTGAGTTGTTAGTGGTCGCTCCACGCTATCGATACGCTCCCCTTTTGCAGACGGGCATGTCGCGACTGAACTACACGCCCAGCACCGACCTGGACTACGGCACAATTTCCTGCTGGGGCAAGAACTCCATTGGCATGCAGAAGAGTCCCTGCGTCTTTCAAATTGTGGCCGCGGGTAAGCAACTAACCGACCAGGCCCCACACTATCCGGACTCAACATAACTCTATCCGCAGGTCGGCCCTTCCCACTGCAGAACTGTTCGGTGACCAATCAATCGGTGGACTCCCTGCAAGTCGACTGCATCGAGGGATTCGACGGCGGCTTGCCCCAGGGCTTCATGCTGGAGCTGGTCGAATTGAACACCCTGCGATTGGCCAGAAATATCACCGTATCGGTAATATCTTAAAACTCCAACTTAACATGTTACATTTTTGGTACCATTCGGAATTGCTTCTCCATTTTATGCAGCACACCCCGGTCACGTTTATCATTGACAATCTGGACCAGGCTGCCACCTACCGGATGGTGATATTCGCTGTCAATGCCAAGGGCCGCTCCGAGCCCACCATAATCGATGACATCAACTTCAAGGGAGTGGCCAAGTTCACGGGTGAGAAGATGAGCCTGCCTCCAATTGGCATTTGGCCTGTAAATAATTTAATTGTGGATCCGCAGGTGCCTCGACGGGTCTCTCCATGCCGCTGTCGCCGTTCCTTGCCGGCCTGACCCTCTTCTGTGGCCTCCTCTTTGCCATCTTCTGCATAATGCTGGCTGCCATCTACCGGAGGTTCTCGAATCGGTGCGTTGGCTAATGGCTAATCGGTGTGGCTTTGCACTAATGACCTCATTTAAATTGCAGGCGCACCGACAACAACCTGAAGGTTGCGAAGCACACGCAGCTGAGCATTCCGGCGGACTGCCAGCTGGACCCGCTGCATCCGGGCGTGCACAGCGGACAGCCGGAGCAGGGGAGCAACCACCAGCCGCACCACAGCCTGCTGCCCCTTAATTGTGATAATCGCAACGCGGTCGACTGCGCCAACCTGGGCGAGGTGAGCGTCGGCATGGACGGCGTCAAAGGGAGCTCACCCATTGGCCTGGTGGCCCTGGGCAGCGAAACGCTGCGTTCGACGGCCCGGACCCGGCACAGTCCGCTGACCGATCAGCTCGATATAGATGACACAGATCCCGATGTTATACCAAATCAGTATGGTAAGTGCTGGTCATTCATGGTCCTGTTCCTTACTGTTCCTTGAGTGAGTTCCTTCCTTCGTCCTTAGAAAAACGTCCACTGAAGAGTCTGGTGTCGCCACCGGGCTTTGCCAGCCCCTCGACTCGCCTCATGCAGCGCGACTACGTCCGGGAGACAGAGCTGGTGAAGGGCAGCTGCGAGACAGTGGGCGCAGCGGAGGGCCTGTCCAGCATTGGTCTGATGAGCAGTTCCGGCAACGAGGTGCTGCACTACACCTTTCGGCCCAGCAAGCAGCTCGTGAGTATCCCAAAAGGGAAAGGGGATCGGTGGTTTATGGGCTTGGATCTGGTTTTTCTATCATGGTGTCATCTCTGGTTTCCCTTCTCTCTCTCTTTATCCCGCTTTCGCCTGAACAGAGCTATGCGACGCTCAATAGGAAGGGCATAACCACCTGCAGTCCGCCGCTGGGCACGCAGAACTATAGCGTGAGCACATCGACATCGACGCCCTCATCCTCATACCATCTAACACCGCAGCCCATGGAGGTCAGTCTGCTCAGTCCGAATCATCCATCGGTGACGTCCTCGCTGAGCGAATACCGATTTCGAACCGGTCCCGAGATAGTCACCACTTCCAATCGCATACAGGAAAGTTGTATATAAATTTCACACACACACATGCACCTATACATACATCAAATGCTACATACCATAGCCGTATACATACACACATATATATATATATATAATATACTTACTTCTGAGTGTACAAAAACAAAAGCAAACAAAAAAAAATATTATCGAGTGCAAAAGTGAATCTGTATTAATACATTGATATCGTACCGTACCGTAACGCAACGTAACGCAACGTAACGTATCGAATAACGTATCCTAGCAGCTAGACGTATGTATGTATTTATGCGCATGGTTTGAGGAAAGACTTCTCCTAGCTCGTAAGCATCTCTTGTGTACTTAATGCATTCATCATCGAATCAATGCCAAATGTGTAGACGAATACACTCGTTTTTTTGTAAATAATCGTTGTCATCTGTTGTTGTACCTACGTATGTATGTGTAAGTCTAATACCGTGAACCTAAAACTGCAACTGCGACGGAAATCGAAACAGAAACATTCTGGCAGAGCAGAAACAAACGAAACTACTTCTAAAGAACATATCGTTTATCGTTTTACCTAATGCCATATCCCGCATATCCCCCATATCCACCCATCCTATATGTATATGACATGAGATTCCAAACGCTGTCCAACTTAACATATCGCCATAGACATCCTAAAAAGAACTGCGCTCCCGCCTAACATTTTGCTTGAAACAGGCTAAGCTAACACGCTTTACCCCGGGTCGGGGTCTCGAGGGGATCGAGGTAAATGTTGTGCGCCATAGCCAAACAACCCCAACTGAGCAAACCGATTGCAACTAATTTACGCCATAATATATATAAATAAACCTATATATACTTGTATCCATTTAATCTGAACAGGACCTGCACTCTTCCAGACCCGGCAGAGTTCTGCGGGAGTCGCATTTGTGAGAATATCATGTCCATATCCTCTATGAAAGTATTACCTATTGATTTTCAATTTGATTAACTGAAGAGTGTTTAAGTGTAGCTACTACCACATACTTGTATTTATCTAGGACTAAGTAGCGCTAAGTGTCGCCCTAAGTGAAATGTAAATATATGATTTCTCGTACATATGCATATACATATACATAAACATACATAGAACCATGCTTAGAGCTCGCTTGTCAAGAACTCGCAAAGGTAACGCGCGGAAGAACTGAACGGAAACAAAAACAGAACAGAGCTCCGTGAAACTGACTCGATAAATGTACATAAATAGTTCATAAATAATTGTGAGAGAAATATGTTGTTCGCTTCTATGTATGTTGTTGCCCCAGCTAGGAGTTAATTAAGCAATTATAATATAGAACAATTGCAAGGCCACACATCCACACATCCAAACATGTGCACATCTTCGGCAAGATCCGAGGTGGGATTGTCTTTTCCACATTTCCTCGCCTCAATTATTCTGCGGAAGAGAGTGAAAGAGCAGCTGTGTTCTGCCCCACCTGGACCGGACGGCTTTCCAGCATTGAGGATGATATATGTACTTATACTTATAAATCTGTGTGTGTATGTATGCTAGAGAGTTTCTGCCAAGAAGTACACCTAAGCTCGAAGCGTAGGCGCGCAGGAGATATACAAAACAGAAAACAGAAAACAGAAATGCAAAGATTAGTATAATTTGTCAAACATAGTTTTTGTAACTATACGTATTAGGAGAAATATTAAATACAATTAAATTATAACTACATGGATGAATCACATTGCGTTTCACTGTTCTGTTGGACCACCGCCGCTTTAATAAGCACTTGGGCAGCAGGAGGTATTGCGGACACGAACCTAACTCCTGCGGCACTAGTACTTAGGAAAGCAAACCGCCAAACTGCATCACATATATACTGATGGTAAGTACTCAAATTATACTCACCCTTGATCTCCCGTTCAGTGTTCAGTTCTCGTGACCCCTGACCCCTCGTGATCACATCAATTAGAAGGGCTCTTTCGGAAATACTTTCTTCTGCTGGTTCGTTCTGCTGGATCGGTGGGAGTGACATCACAGAATCCATCACAAATTGACAGCTTGAAGCATCCATCCGTTCTGTAATGTATTCTGAACTATGCACTTTATCGTTTAGTCTTGAGTTATTAATATCTATAAACGATACTTAACCTTCTGAGGCAGCTGTGTCATCCATCCATCCATCTGTGTACAATCTCCTGCAAATAGTACATTTTTCTACCCTCCCCAAAAATAGAAATATACGAGTATTGCTGCCCCTTCCTTTCACTCGGTTTTCGTTTGCTTGCGCGTGTAGCTACATATGTATGTATGAATGTATGCATGTATGTAGATGTGTATCATTGCAAGTCATATATGGATGGCATATTGCTGTGGCTAGTAACCTCTTGCACATAATACATAAGTTTATTAAATTTAAATTGGCTTAATTGACCCTCATTCGTTTTCCGTTGCCCGTTGCCCGATGTCCGATGCCCGTATTCGCCGACAGCGTTCAAATTTACTCCGTGACAGACGACAACGACCACGTCGTTTCTGCTCTGCCTCTGGGATCTGGTACTGGTTCTGGTTCTGGCTTTGCTGGCCCTGTCTGTATTGTTGCCTTCATTGCTGGAGCATTCAAAGTCAATTGAATTTAAACGAATAAAAATACACACAATGCGAATGTGTAGAAGCAGTCTTATTGTCGCTGCTCTCGGTTATGAGTGCGGCTGCCGCTGCTGCAGCCTACTACTGGGGCAAGCGTCAAGTACTTGTCAAAAAAAAAAATAAAGCAACAAAAATGCCACAGCAGGCACAAAACTCTCGTATGTGCAACAATTTGTCGGCACAAGATGCACAAACAAAGTACAATAAACAGCTGCCTGAATGCATTCATCAGCTAAATTAGAATATACATAGATTAATCAGAGCACAATAACACTTAGTTAAGTGAATCCAATAGCAGCAACTGTGGCAATTGTCGTTCTCAGAAATCTGTTGCACTTCCTGAGTGGCATTAACTGCATCCTTTGTTCCGACTCAACTACAATATAGGCACACTGATTTCATTTCATATTTTCTATTCTAAACAAATCGGATAACTGATTCGTCTATATTTTAATCTGCATTTGAATGCCTAACATGTTACTATTTCAGTGAATGCAAATATTAGTGATTGCGACATGTCTTTTCTTTTATAAGTTTTGCATACACAATAAGAATTCTATAAGAATGTAAGCCTCCATCATTTTCACAGGAATACTTGTACAACTTTTTCCGAACTAAGAATTGCTAGCATAATAAAAATATTTGTGTTGCTATTCGGCTGTTTTGAAGGCAAATTAAATTATATTCCACTCTTCTAACTAAGGGCACAAATGTTGTATTTTGCTGCACTTATGTATAAAGACACTAAGCTCCATTCCCTTGGCCATAATGCACGGAAAGACAATGCATATATATTGTACATATTTGCGGAATAACATTAAGTTAATGAACAATTTCAGAGCGGAGATAACGTAAATAATGTGAAAACATTTCGCATTTCATATCATACATACTTATTTTTGCATTCCGGAAAAACGGAGAATCGGAGAGCGTTGAGAGAGTGGGCGATCCGCACGCGAGGGAGTGTAGAGTCATCGTCATCCATTATATAGCTGGTGTCGCCGCCGCTGCACAGCTCGACAGCGAAAACGTTGATTACGATTATCGCGCCTTCGAAGGGGTCTTAACCCCCGTTCGGAGAATTGACCAGCGCCAGCAGTCGCTGTTTCCAGCATACATATGTATGTACATAAGTATGTATGTACTCGTATACAAATTTAATTATAATTTATATGTACTTCAATGTTCGTTCAACAGCAGGAGTAAAAGTGTGTGGTGTGTGGCACATTTTTATATTATTATTTTATTTTATTTTTTTATTTTTTTCGTGTTGGTTTTCCGAGTAGAGGCGCGTCCCATGCACAGATCCATCCGAGATCTGGGATGCGAGATCGGAGATCTGAAGTCCGCGGCTGAGCGCGGAGAACTTTTCCGCTCGAGGGCGATTCCACAACTGATTTGTGCAGTGATCGCGTGGACAGTCGTTGGATTTTTGAAAATAACCATCAATTCATTGCCGAGCGGCTCGCCGTCCGATCCGCTCTCTGTATGGGTGTGGTGTGTGGTGTGCTCGACACGCCGCCCTCATATGCGTACTCTCTTATGGGTGAGTGTGCTGATGTACATGTACATACACATACATACATCAACATCAATTCTGCAACAATTCCGATCGAGCACAGACCGCCCGCCCCTTCTCCGCACAGTCCTAGTTTGCAGTTGATTATTGACTAAGCCGGGCGGCAACTGTCCCGCATTTTCTCGACTTAAAATACGCGTAGAAGCACTCGAAATAGCGGCGCAGCCTCCCTCTCCCAGTGCCGTTCATATGGGATTATTTTATCACACTCTCGTTACAATTTTCCTCCCCTTCTCCACGGTTTTCAATCTTAAATCAGCATCGCCGACGGCTTTTCACACAAACAGATTGTCCAGGCCTATAACAGATTAGACTGGTTCCAAGTGTGCGAGTGGGGTGGGTTTCCCTCTGCCTGCTCCCTAATGCCACCCTCCCTACTAAACACTTAATATGGTCAAACGATGGTCACCGGGGGGCAGGGGGAACGACTTGCTCGGATTATATCCATGTGCTGTATCAGATTGAGTTTTTGTCCAATTTGGAGATCCGAGATCATGAGGCTGAATGGGGGTTGGGGTGGACGGCCAATAAATCTTACACGTCTCACTTCTGCTTGGAAGACTTTTGCCTATTTAATCTCAAAAACAGACCATCAGCATTTCGATATTTAAATTAAAGTTTACATGTAAATTCAGCATTGGATATTTTAGGCATTTAAACATTTTTTGTAAGTTGTTTCATTTCCCATTTATGCAACATAATTTATAATCTAGAGCATCTAGTCTGGAGAAAAGTAAACCAAGGGCTTGTTTGTATAGAATTATACACAGATATCCAGTATATTAGCTGACCAAAGATTTTAAAGTCACAAAATCACAAATTATGTACTTTACTTTATTCAATTATTTGTTTTAAATCTTTCTACAAGTTTTTTTTACCATATATACAT